AAAGTACACAGACTAATACAGGATGTTTTCTTGATGTGCACTTAACCTTTATATAAAACTCTCTTCTACCTGAGTTTCTGTGGATTTGTTTCTCCAAAGTACCCAGACTCACACAGAGAGTTTCGTGATAGTTCCACTCAGGCACTAGTTCTGCACTTGTCCCCCATACAGCGAGCATGTGCTAGGTGCCCCGAGGGCAGAATATCGAACCTTCACACCTGAGCCAAGCTTCATTTTATAGAGGAAGAAGTAGTAGCTCAGAGTCGTTGACTAACTCGCCCAAGGCCACACGGCTAGACTAGGTAGCAGAGCCATGATTTGGACCCCTGGGACTCTTCTTATCCCACAGTGGCCTAGAAAGCAGAGGCAGGCTTGTCCCTGTCTATAAGACGCTCCATTCACTGCCATTGCTGTCGCGGTGAATTGTACTGTGTCTGATAGGGCCAATGGGAGCAGCCTGTGGAGTTGTTGCTAGGAAGAGGAGGCAGGGTAGCGAAAGACTGCGCTCCCTGTCCCCCCCGCCAGGACTTGATGGTGTAATGGTTACACGTTGGGCTGCTAACCGCAGCTTCAGTAGTTCGAACCCATCAGCCACTCCGAGAGAGACAGGCCAGGCTTTCTAGTCTCGTACTGATCTAGTCTCAGAGACCTGCAGGGGCAGTTCTACCCTGTCCTGTAGGGTCACTGGGAGTCACATCGACTCCCTGGCAGTGAACTTGGTTTTGGAAAGCTGGACTTGAAGGATCTATAGTGGCATTTTAGGGTATGCATTCAGCCATTAACGACAAGGTCAGCTGTAGACACCCACCAGCCAACCTGCAGGAGAAAGAAACGGCAGTCCGCTCCTGTAAAGATATACAGCCTCAGAAACCCACAGGGGCAGTTCTACACTGCCCTTCCTATAGGGCCACTTTGACCCAGAATTGACTTGGTGGCAGAGTAGGTCTGCCCCTGTGGGCCTCTGAGGATGTGAAACTTTATGGGAACAGCCAGCCTCATCTCTCTCCTGTGGAGTGGCTGCTGGGTTTGAACTGCTGATTTTGTGGTTTGCAGCTCAACGTTTAAACCCATGACACCACCAGGGTTCCTGTTCTCGGGTCTCACTTCAGGACTGCCTGCAGCAGGCTGGGGATTGAGCTGCATGCTCAATGCTGGCTTTCACAAAGCGTCTGGAGCTGGCCTGAGGACTGAGGCCACCCCGTGTGCCCAGCCTCCCCTATGAGCCCAGTGGTGGGGATTATTCAAGGGACCATTAGTTCAGGCGGAGGCCGGGAGAGGTGCTTAGCTGATTGCTCACTGCGTGGCTTTGGGCATATCCTACTCTGCTTGGCAACTTTGTGGGGAAATTCCTCTGGCTGTCAATTCCATTTTCCCGTAGACTTTGGAAGCATCTTTGTAGTTTACTCCGTGGAGAACAAGGGGCCTGGGACGGGTGACTGTCATTCCTCATCCACTCAGTGGTGGCCAGGGGATCTGGGTGTTGATCTGGATTTGAAGGAACCCTGCTGGTGCAATGGTTGAAGCACTCTGCTGCTGACGGGAGGGCTGGCAGTTCAAGCCCACCCACAGGGGAAACTCGCAGGGCAGCTAGGGCTGCCAGGAGTCCAGATCCAACGGCCGGCATGCAACAATGACCTTGTTCCATCAGAGGGCGCCAAACCCCAGCTCTTGACATCTGCCTGAGTTTAAAAAGTGCAGACCAGGTGAGGATGCCTTGGGTATCAAGGGGTTGTGTGAGCGAGACCAGCACGAACCTCTACCCACCACCACAGCAGTCACCACCACTGCTGTCTCCAACCGCTGCTGCCCCCTGGCCACCCTGACAGCCCAGCTCTCTGCTGGTACTTTGTACACTATCTGCCTCCATCAGGGCTTTGGGGCTTGCTGCCCCTATAATTGGAACACTTGTGCCCTAGACATCTGCAGCCCACCCCCCACCCCCCTGGCCCTTTTGCTTCCTCTCAAAAAACCAAACTCACCCCATGGAGTTGATCCCCACTCCCAGCCACCCTGGGGGACAGGGATGAACTGCCCCTGTGGGTTTCCGCGACTGTACTGCGACTCTTTATAGGAGCAGGGCTCCATCGCTCTGCTGAGGAGTCGCTGGTGGTTTTGAACTGCTGGCCTTGAGGTTAACAGCCCAACGAGGGACCCCCTAAGCCACCAAAGCTCCTTGGGCCCCTTCTGGTGAGGCCTTTCCGGTGGGTGTTGGTAGCTGCTGTCAAGTAGGTTCCAACCCACAGTGACCTTCTGCCCAGCAGAGGGCGACACCTCCGGTCCTGTGCTATCCTCACCGTTGTCCCCATGTCTGAGCCCCTTGTTGCTGCCACGGCGTCACCCCGCCTCCTCAAGGACCTTCCTCCTTGTCAATGGCCCTGCTTCCCCCAAAAGGACGCCTTCTCCAGGGACGGTCTCTCCTGACCACATGTCAAAGTGTGCTCTCTTGACTGCTGCAGGCATTAGCATTGGTTTGGGGCCCAAGACAAAGTGCTTGAGAACTTCAACTTTGTCTCCATTTATGCTGATGTGTCCGATTGGTGTTGTGAGGTTTTGGTCTTATGAACATTGAGGCCTTTTCTGACCCCCCTACAAAACCGGCAGAGCCTTTCAACAGGGGGCAGACCCCTCCCACAGGGGGCAGAGCCCTCCCACTCCCATAGCCTTGCTGAGAGGTGTCAGTTGCAGGACTAGGCCCTACCTAGGCCCACCCCTTTCACCTTGATTCTGGTGACATCAGAGGGCTGAGGGCACACAGGGTTAGGAAAAGAAGCCACTTACTCCCCTCCCCCCTCCACTATCCCACGGAGAGAGGAAAAGAGCCCACGCCACACGAGGAAGATGCCAGGAGATTCACTGGGGCAATGTGGGTGTCTGAGTCCTAGGGGCACTATTGGGTAGCAGGGTGCAGTCCCACAAGCTGCTCCTCAGGAGGGCCAAGAGGCAGTCGGCTTCTGAAAGCTTTACAGCCTTGGAAACCTGCAGAGGGTCACGGAGTCTCGATGGCATTTGGTCTTGTGTTTGAGCCTCCACTTGCCTCTCTCTCTTTACACTAACCTGGAGACAGGTGACCCTCTTAGCTACAGGTGGCTGAGGGGCTGGCCTGGGGCTGCTGGTGGAGAGAGGCAGCCATGAGATGGCCAGGCACACAGAGGGTCTGAGGGAAGTGGATGTCCCTTGGGCTCTCAGACTGCTGGGATGGTGGGCTGCAGGCTTGCTGGGGCCACCACTTGGGTTGACGAGGTGTTAGCTATAGGAGAATTGCAGCTTGGTTGAAAGATGTGGCTGACTGACACCTCATGAGACCCCCACTGAGTCAATTAACTAGACCAGCAGAATGACCCTGGCAAGGAGAGTCCTGGAGTGAATCCATCTCTCCACACACACACACACACACACACACATCACACACACACACACACCACCTCCCTTCACAGGGATGTGCAGACAAGTCGACCTCCACGGCCCTTCAGGTGGGAGCTGCAAGAGGGGGCCTGGGGGAAGATTTAATAGAACAGGAGACTCTAGTTTGCAAAGGAATGAGAAGCTGGTTTGAAAACACTGTAAGAACCAGATGGAAACCAAAGCAAAATAGACGGATTAGGAACCCTAACCAACTCACTGTCATGTAGACGGTGCCGAGTCCGGGGAGCCTATGGAACCGAGGAGAACTGCTCCTGTGAGTTTCTGAGACGCTAACACTTGATGGGAGGAGAAAGGCCCCCTTGTCTCCCTGGGAGCAGCTGCTGGCTTTGAACTGCTGACCTTGCAATTAGCAGCCCAACGTGTATCCACTCTGTCCCACAAACCCATCAAACCAAGTATATGATGGGTTCAGGGAATCCTAACACTGCTGGCCAGGAAGCCACGCCTATGCCCCAGCTGACCTGCGTCAATCCACGCATAGTGTATCTGGGACAGTGCCCGGCACATAGAAGTTCCTAACCTAGCTGTGGCCTCTCAAGTTACCAGGTGCATGTGTTTGGGTCCCACTCCATTTCCTGGCAAACACTTCGGGCTGTGAAATCTTGTTTCCTGTGAGCAGCCAGGCCACGCTCCTCCCTCCGTCCCTGATCCACAGAACAAGGTACAGCCCTCCCCTCCCAGGGCTGGGGCAGCCCCAGCTCACGGACCGCAGGGGGCTATACCACGGCTCGCAGGGAGATGGGGCGATGGTCTCCACTGTCTAAGAGCATTCTGCCAGACACCCCAGGCCGGTCGGGGAGCCCTGTCTCCCCAGCACGACTTACCGACTGGGCGTTCATACCCAACAAACTTCAAAAAGGGGCACTGCAAAAAGTGCTGAGAGAAGCTTCTAGAACATTTTACGGAACCTTCAGGGGGGTGTCCCAGGGCCCTGCTTTCCTTCTGCACACTTGGGTGTATCCACTTGGTCGCCCTTCGCCACGGCCCCCTCCCCTCAGGGGAGATGACCACCTCACCGAGGGGAGGTGTTGCCGCCGCCGCCACTGAGTCAGCCTGCTTCCCTGCGGTCCTCGTGCGGTTGGGCTGCTGTGATCTATGACTTCCATGAGCACGTTTTGGGAAGGAGATTCCCCAAGCCTTTCTTCCTAATCCGTCTGTTCTGGAAGCTGGCCCGAGACCTGCTTCACAGCCCTGCAGCCCATGAGCCTCCCCTGACCTGGGTGGCGGCTGGCCATGAGTGCAGTGGCCAAAGTCAAAATGGGCTCTCCAGCATGGGGGGTGAGCTTTCTACCAGGGAACCACCAGCAGCCTCCGTGTCACTGGAGAAGCAAAGTGCGGTGTCCAAAAGGCTACTTGCCCCAAAGGCTACTTGCTGGAGGCTAGCCAGGCCAGGAGGCATGGGCTGTGCCAGACGAACACGGCCCTTCATGTTTTAAGGCCAACTCCCTTTTAACAGAATATGCTTCTGGGGAGAATGGATGGTCTAGGCTGGCCCATCAGGAGAACAAAGGAAGCCACCCCCCTCCAGGAGTGTGTGTGGGGGGTCCCTGCCACAGTGAGACACGCAGCACAGCGACCAGGGGGGCGAAGTTCTTGTTTATTGTTGCTGCAACTCTTACAGACATTAGCGTTCCGTTAAATAAAGGGGAGCTAGCACACGAAATACATCACAACCCCCAAATCAGACAGGCCTGGCCACGTGACACGGGGGGAGGGAGGGCCGGGCCCGGGGCCAGCCCGCTGAGGAGTTACATTCGGTGGGAGTGGGGCGCCCACGTTCCAGGCTCGCGGGGATAGAGATCTTATTTATATATTTATTTGTATTTTTAGATAGAGATCGTGGAGTTCTGTGTACAAAGAACGATATCGTTACAAATACAATACTATACGTCTTCCAACGCTTCACTCGGAGTTCGACTCCATCCTCTCTACAGAACCCCCGTGCAGGTCCGGACTCGGGGTGCTGTGCTGCGCGGGGGCTTCTGCCTCCTGGGTCCTGACACACGGCCCGGGGAGGCGGGGAGGCCGGTGGAATGGTCGCGTGCTCCAACCAACCCGCACCCACCGGGGAGGAGAGGGGACGCACAGAAAGGAGGTCCAGGCGACCCTGCGCGTTAACCTAGGTAACAGCTACACCGCTGGGTCGAGGGGCCCCGGGTTTCCATCAGGGTGTGGACAGTGAGTTTGGGGCATGTGGGGGGCGGGGTGGGCGGGAGGTAGTAGATTACTCTGGGGCTCTTGGAAGGCCAGTGTTGACGGGCATCAGGCTACAAGCCACTGGGTGTGCAGGGGCGCAGTCACTCAAGAGAAGCGGAGGATGGGCGGCCGCGGATGCTCCAGGTGCTGGCTACGTGGGGTCCGGTCCTCCGACAACCCCAAGGCTGGCCGTGGCTGCCGGGAACTGGGGCATGACGTTTGGTTCAGGCAGGGGTGGGGTAGGCTGCGGGTGTTCACATACATACGTTTAAATGTTGGGGCATCACGAGGGAAGTGGAACCCCACTTCTTGCGGGACTGCCCAAACCGGCATGACTAAGATTCAGGTGAGGAGCGTGGGCGGCTTTGACCTTTGAACCAACAGTGGCTTCCTTGGGTGAAAGATGGGTCGGTTGGCTTCCATAGAGATGTCAGTCCCTAGGGGCCTCTCTACTCTGTCCTGAAGGGTTGCCAAGAGTGGGAATTGACCCACGGCAAGGGGCTTGGTTTGGGGTTTACTCCTAAGCTGGGCTCTGAACTGAACGGTTGGGGGCTGATCCCCCTCCCCGGGGAACCGTGGGAGAAACAGGGGGTGGCCTGCTTCCCAAAGGTGAAGCCCATGGGTTTCTTTGAGGTGCATGGGGTCCCCGGCACTGGGCACTCCCATAGGCTAATTCCCGTGCCCCCAGGGGCAGGGAAGAGGCAGCCCAGCTGGCAGAGCCTGTTTCAAACCCAGCGACACTCACAACCTGGTGAGGAACAAACATTGTCAACACAGAAGTATGGGCGAGGGGCTCAAAAGGGGCTGTGGGGGGATAAAGAATCTTACGCTAAAAGACACCAACAGCCTTCCAGGGGTGCTATCCCAATGGCCTTTCTCAGCACCTCTCCAACGTCCCAACTTTCAAGCAAGAGGAATTTTGCTCCCTCCTCTGGGTGAAGGGTTGGAACAGCCTTACTGGGCAATTGCACAGGGCAGCGTGGGCCAGGCTCTCTTCCCTGGCCCATAGGGTACCCTCTGCTGTTCCAAGCACCCCATCTGCTGCTCTCAACCACAGGGACCCAGACAGGTGTGTTCTCTGGAAGCAGACAGGCTTCAGACTCCTGCAGTGTCCCGTATGACAGCCTATCGCAATGTCTGCAGCGGAGACGTGAGCATGTGACTGGCAGCAGCTCACAGTGAACACCAGACACCTGATAGCTTGGTTCTTTCAGGACCGGACACTGGAGAAGCTGGGGCCACACACGGTTCTGCCCCAGCCCCACAAACACTCTGCTCCTTGCATTAAGCCTAGTGGGGGCTGACTGCCCAGCCGGGCACCCCCAGCCCCACTCCGCAGCTCTCTGGAGAAGGGCAGTCCCTCCCCAGAGAGGACTTCCGGGTGGCTGGCCGCCTCTGTTACAACTAACAGCAGCACAGACACAGCTTGGCTGCGGGTCCCTCTGAGCCTGTTCAGCTTTCCTGATTCCAGGCAGAAACTTCAGGAAGAGCAAAGATCCCAGGCTTTCTAGTTCCCGCCTCTAAGTTCCTGGTCGCCGCCTTCCTCCCCGAAATCCATCCTCGCCCACTTTGCTCACCGTGTTCCTAGTTCCACGAGACACAGCATACAGAGGTGCAGAGAACAGGGGTCATAGGAATATTACAAAATATATTAGTTTCTCTTCCCTGTCTCTACTGAGGGCATGAACAAAACAAGAAAAACGAACAAACAAGTAAAAAAACACAAATAACAAACCCAAAGAAACCCAAACAGAAGAAGCACACCCCACGTGGAAACAAAAATGCTCTTTGGACTGAGAAGTGAGAAACTGGCTCAGAATAATAGTACTAAAAGGGCTGCACGCACAGTGCCGGAATCCCTAAGTATGAGGCACCTGATGGGCACGGGGCCTTCCACACCAGTTACAACTCTCAGACCCACACACGGGCGGCACCGATGATGCTTCCAGGGCCCACTTGGGGGTGGGGGGATCCTTAGGCATAACGTGAGGTCATTATTGTCCCCTTCGTTTTGTGGTTTATGCAATGTGCAGGCCTTTCCAGTGTCACAGCCTGCCTACAAGCCCTGAGCAGAAGAGGGAGTTGGTTCAGCTTTGGGCCAGGAATTGTTAACACACGGGTGTCCTGGAATGGGGACCCAGGTGCTCGTCTTCAAGGGGGGGCGGTCTGTCCTTCCCAGTCTACCAGTGTGTATGAGTAGGGGTGCAGAGCCGGGCCACTCCCTCAGAAGGGGCACTCTGAGCCAAGGAGACGCCGGGAGGGCTTTAGCCAAAAAGGGCTCTCTCAGGACCAGGCTGGCCAGTCTTCCTGCCGCCCTAACTTCCAGGGTAAGGGGCTGCCCGGGGAAGCCACGTGGGTGGTCCAGGGGCTCTGTGTGCTATCGAAGGCAGGTCCCTGGGGTGGGGGGCATTTTCAGCTTATCTTATTGGTGGCAGGGAAGAGGGAGGGGAGATGAGAAGTGTGAGTGAGTGAGAAACGATAGAGGCAAATGGGACCTGCCCGTGTTGATCCAGTGGCTGGTAACCTGGGGACCAGTCCTGGATGTGCCGTGAATAGCCAGGCTGCCTGCAAGGCTCCTGTCTCCTCTTTCTTGTCCTCTGGGGGAAAAGGCCTGTATGATTAGAAACCCGAGTAGGCTGAAACTCAGACTAGCTACGAATGGACTTGGGTTGGCTCAGAGATTCTGGGTGGAGACCATGTACGCATGCCCATTACATGGTGGGCACTGCACATCCTCAGAGCCGTGGGCTGGCTCCCGTTACCACCACACTGCTCTACATGCCTGCCAGCGGGAAGAGCAGAGACCAGCACTGCTGAATCCACTCTGTCACCACCCTGGGAGCTCCTTTCGCCAGGTCTGCATCTCCAGGCAAGAGATGGTTCCCCGCCAGGCAGCAACACGCTTCCTTAGGGACACGCCCACCAAGAGGGTCCAAGAGGGGGCTCCTAGCAGGACCAAGGAGCTCTCCGTCCCCAAGTGAGTGAACACATAACTTTCCTGGATATTTTTGAGAGAGAAAGAGAGAGAGAGAGAGAGAGAGAGGTTCTGGTGGCTCCTCCTCTTCCTGGGCAAACCAGCCGCTGAGCGCAGGAGGGGACTGTCTCGGTGGACACACAGATGCAGCACTAGACACACAACCAGAAGTGAGGAGAGACCTCCATGCAGGCCAGGCGCGGGCAGCACAGGCTCAGATGTAAACCGGCTGCTCCTGGGCCGTCAGCAGCCTGTACATGGCGGCCGGCATCGTCTTCATGTGGATCTGAGGGCAGAGAGCACGCGTTAAGGGGCTGGGGAGGAAGGGCTGCGTGCTCACCCATAAAAACCAGATGCTGTCAAGCCGACTAGTGTCCACCCCGTGTGTGTGTGTGTGTGTGTGTGTGTGTGTGTGTGTGTGTGTGTGTGCGTGTGTGTATGTGTGTGTGTGTGTGGTGTGCGTGATAGGTTTGTGTGTGTTGTATGCATGTGTATGTTATATGTGTATTAGATGGGTGCTGTATGTATGTGTGTGGTGTATGTGATGTATGTTGTATGTATGTGTTGTATGTAAATATGCATGCATGTGTTTCAGAGTAGAACTGGCATCCATGGGGTTCTCAATGGCTGAAGTTTCCGGAACAGGTTGACAGACCTTTCTTCTGAGGAGCTGAGGGCTCTGGAAGGGAGCGATTCTGGGCTTTTGACAACTCCCCCACCCACGCCCCTGCAGAGACAAGGAGGGCAGCTAGTAGCTGAAAGGCAGGCGTGAAGAGGCAACCTTAGTGGTTCCGGACTGCGGACCTCCTGGTTAGCAGATCAGGCGCATAATCACTACGTCACTTGGTCGACTATATTTTGGGTCGTGCAGGGCCACTAAGACCATCACTTCTTTGCAGAGGAGCTGGGGTTGAGATTTGGTTACTGAGGACTGTGTGGTGGGTGGTCAGAAGATTAAGGTGCCCCGTTTCTATGAAAGGCTGGTGTTTTGAGTTTACCCAGAGGCGCCTCGGAAGAAAGACCTGGCAATCCACTTCAGAAAAATCCACCCCAAGAAACCCAGGGGAGCAAGGTGCCACTCTGGCCGCGAATCATGTGGAAACTCGGGAAGGTTTACCGGAAGGCTTGCTTAGGCCCAAGGGGAACCAGAGGTCACTCATCCCCTCCGCACAGCTCCGGGGCCGACACCTACCTCCCCGACGGCATTGGAAAGAATGTGGACGATCTTCTCGTGCGGGGTAGCAACGACACTCTGCCCGTTGATTTCAATGATCCGGTGTCCCACGCGGATGCCCCCCCTCTCGGCGATTCCTCCGCGCATGAGGCTGCAGATCTACACAATCCAAGGCCAAGTTACCCCCTGCGCGCGCATGCGCCCGGCGGGCTCTTCCCTCCCCTCCCCTCCCATAATGGTGCGCGCACAGGACTGGTCTTTTTCCTTCCGCCCCGCACGTGGCACCACATCTCAGAAACACTAATGCCGTTTGAATTTTTGCTCAAGAAAGGTGGCTCGGCTACCCATGTGCACCTCACTCTTGACAGGAGAAGCAGCGCCCGGCTCCCGCGACAGCAATGTCGGATGAGGCAGTGCACAGGGACCGCCGGCTGGTGGCAAACATGAGCCCTTCTTTCAGGGCTGGCTGATGCTCAGCTGGCCTTGCAGAGAACGGCCGGTTCTATCTCCCACGCGCGGCATTCCAAAGAGCATGCTCGGATTTATCCGCCGACTTCCCATGCCATGCGGTGCATCCTTTCTTAAAAGCCCTTGCAGACGCGGAGTGCCACATCTTGTGTGTGGACCCCTTGGTGGCCCAGGACCTTAGTGGCTGGAACTTGCCCTAGGTACCTTTCCCACTTCAGCTAAAACTGGGGGCCCCAAATAACCCACACCAGTTCTATAAGAACTCTGGCGATTTGAGGCTTTTAATACAAAGCAAGGCAGCCAATATGCAGCGACAAGACTAGGATGTGAGAGCCACACCGGCATCATCTTTCCTAGCAGGCAAACTGAGCGATCAAGGTATCAGTCACACGGGATGGGTCTTTCAGATCTGACTGGGAATTTCCGGGGTATTTCTAAAACTTGAAACACACTTGGAGCACAATCTCAATTGACTGAAACTCTTAATTGGAAATTACCCAACTCACTGCCCTTGAGTCTGTTCGGACTCATAGCAGCCCTACAGGACAAAGCAGACCTGCCCCTGGGCGTTGGCGCGACTACAAATCCTTATGGAAGTAGAAAACCCCTTCTTCTTCCTTCAGAAGGGCTAGTGGTTTCAAACTGCTGACCTTGTGGGTTATAAGCACAATGTATGACCATCAGGGCTCTGAATTGGAAGTTGTGGGTGGAAGGTCAAATTCAAAGAAGGGGCAGGTCCATCCCAAACATAAGTATCAGGAAGGTTATGGGTGGAGAACAGATTTGCCAACAAAGCCCAGGCTTACCGTGGCTCCAGAATGAGTAACCTAAAGGAAACATTTCATGTGGCAGCCAGCCAACTTTTCGGATGAAAAATACCCTTCATCCCTCCAAGTGTAAATTCTGTGGAAACCTGAACTCACCGCTAACCTGTGAGTCCCGACTCCCTGCCACCGGAGGTAAGGTTTCTGAGACTGTCGATCCTTACAACAGCCTCATCTTTCTCCTCCTCAGAGCTGGGTGCTGGTGGGTTTGAACCACCAGCCTTGGGGCTAGCAGCCCCGTGCTTACTCCTCAGTGCCACCAGGGCTCCCTTCTCACGTGGGAGGACTCGGTTAAACCCTGCCACAGGAGAGCTGCCCATGGAGGAGGCGGAGTCTGCTGTGCCCCATCCCTCCCCACTTTCAGAGTGCTGGGGGGGGCTGAAACAGAATCAAACCACGTTGTCCTGATAATGACCGGGCCAGCACCCCCAGCCTCCACCCCCCCCCTACCCCCCAAGCCATTCTTATCCCGCTGACGCTGGTGCGGGACTTACGATTCCATTCTGGACGCTGAAGCCCAGCTGGTAGCGCAGGTCAGGCCTTCGGATGAGCACAGTGGTGACCGGCGGGCAGCGCACGATGCTCAGCTTCACTCGGGACTGGTTCTTCAAGCCCTATAAGTGAACAGTGCGGTGACCAGGCGGGCAGCCAGGCCAGTGCGGGCAAGCCGCAGTGCCCGGGTCCCCGGCCACCAGCCCTGACCCCCGACAGGGAAATGACACTGATTTCATCTTGGGGAAATGGCAGCAGCGTTGAAGGGGCTTAATTAAAAAGTGGTCGTCAGGCCGCCTGAGAAGTGTTAACGTGTGCTTTGTGGTTTGAGCCGTGAACCCTTCTCCCTGCAAGTGGGCTTTTCCTCCGTGTGGTGAACTCAAGCACCCCTCTGCCACCCCAGGGCATCTCATCCCCAACAACTTGCCCACTTCATCGGAGGCCCCTTTCTCAGGCTTTGACAAGAGCTTCCTCCCCTTGCTCCCGGCTTCCACCCCCCTAACCTCTCTCCGCCAGCTCAGATTATCAACACCTCCAACAGCAACCGGGAAGAGGCAGCGTCCCCATCAGTCCCATTCTCCCTGGAAGGATGGACCAACCAGTGGCCACTGAGATGACTCTGAGCAGGGCGAGTCCGTGGTTCAGGGCTGGGGTTTCGATGGCTGGTTCTCCGAAGCAGTTCTTCACAGGCACCTCTAAAAGCCCTGTGGTGGAGTCGGCTGGAGGGTCACTGGTTGTTTTGCCTTCGGCTACCTGGCTTGATGAAGGTTAGTGTGCTGGCCCGGGGCATCAGCATCACATGGTGCTTAGGCGCAACGCCATTCTGGGACCCATGGAGGCAGAAACGCCAGGAGCGGCGTATGGGTGTGCGAAGGGGATTTCAGTGCACGCTCTGTGTGAGAACAGACACCTGCAGAAACATGACTCATGTGTGTCCAGGTGAGTTGGTAGCTAGTGCCATGCATGGCAGGATTAGGCTCCTCTGATGTGGAGGCAGGAGCCCAGGCATGTTAGTACAGTTGGGGTGGGGTCGGGGCGACTGGTGAGATGGTCAGTGGGTGGGCCACTATACAGCCTGATCCCAGTCATTGAGAGATGCTGTCATGTCAGGACTCAGGGGGGCTTGTGGAAACCCCGCTCGGCGTTCACATGTCAGAAGGCCAGGGCTCCGAGGGAAACACGGGCTGAGGATGCTGAGGAAACACACGGCCACAGGTGGGGTCCCCAGACCTTCAGACAGACACTCACTGAGATGACTCGGTGTGCTTGCCGGTGAAGCCCTCCTGAAAAGCTAAGGGACTCAACTCTGCTTTTTCAGCGGGGCAGAAAGCCACATTGCGTGGGCGGGTTCATGCCACTGGTGTGACTTGACTTAGGATGCTAGCTTTGTCTCCCAGTGAGAGAATTTCCAGAATGGGCAAATGGGCTGCAGGACGAGGCTTGGGGAGGCCGCAATGTGAAAGAATCAGACCACGCTGCCCTTCAAGTGGAGTCCCGGGAGGTCATGTGGTTTTCTGCGATGGCCTTACTGGCGGTGCCAATTAGATAGGTGGCCATCTGGTCCCCATGACAACAGTGGAATGGTGCGGTCAATTAAGAGCTGCCGTGGGAAGGTAGGGTAGGCGGGAGGGCAGGGGAGAGGAACTGGGGAGGTCTCCATAGCAACAGGAGCACAGGAAAATGAGGTTGCTCTGCAATGAAAGGGAAGTTGCCCTTTGGTTTTTCAGACAGACAAAATCCAGAGGCCAGGACCCGGGGTGATGGCATGGGCACAGCTAGGCTGCTAACTTCCACCACCTACTAATAATTGAGCTTTAGGAATCACGACAGAAGGAAAAAAACCAAGAGCTGGGTACAAATAAAGCAATTAAACTAACTCTAACGAGGGGAAAGTAGGTGTCCACAGAACCTGCTGGCCCTGTGACTCACGGCTCACATATCGTAGGAGGTTACCCAGAGCGCATTGGAAATGCAGATTCTCTGGCCCCGGCCCGGCCGGAACGAATAAATCCGAATCGCATTCCCACGGGATTTTACCCTGGGCGAGTAAAGTCGAAGAATGGGAGGCACTGGCGTGTCCTGAGAGTTGCTTATTAACTGCACCCGGGGTGTGCCGGGCAGCAGGAGCTGGCTAACGGGGCACGTGTGTTTGTCGAGAGTTCACCAACAATCTGGCAGCTATCATAGGCCCCCACTTCATGGCGATCCCAGCCACATGGAACAGCTGGCCGGCGCAGCGGCACCCCTGGGAACAGCTGTAGACTAGGCTGCTGTGACCTACGGGGTTCCACTGCTGACTTCAGAGCCAGAATGCCAGGGCTTCTTCACCTGCTTCGTCTGGGAGCTCCACTCACACCTGCTCTGTAGCGACATGCGAGGGGGCCTCACATGGTTCGTGGGCAAATGGCGTGAAAACATACAATCATCTGTCTCAGAGGAAGGTCAGCCACTACTGGACTCGCTCCTTAGAAGCAAGACTTCATCGGGCATGGTGTCAGAAGAGGCTGGTCCCTGGAGAAGGACGTCATGCTTGGTGAAGAGAGGGTCAGGATAAAGATGAAGACCCGTCATGGGATGGACTGACAGACACAGAGGCTGCCGCAATGGGCTCCAACTTCTCCACAGCGGTGCGGGGCGCAGGTGCAGGCCTGGCTAGGGTTTTGTCCTACTGTACACAGAGCCACTGTCAGTCAGGGCTGACTCAGTTGCACCTACCCAACACCCACACAGGTCCCTCTGATTGTGTTCTGACGATTCTAACTGCTATGAGTGGTAGCAGCCAGCCTGGCCCACCCCCTGTCCTTGCGTCCACTTCCACTGGGCCAGGGCACTTTCCTTCTGGTCTGTGGGTCGATGGTGTCTCACCCCACCCACACTGGGAAGCTTGGCGATGCTCCCAAGTTCCACGTGGCCACCCTGTAAGTCTGTCGGTGCTGAAGGCAGCCACCCAGGCACCTGTTTCCGGATTCTTCATCGTCACAGGCTACGTCTCTTTCATTGCCGTTTAATTTTCTGACTATAAATACTCTACTTATAGACATCAGACTTCAGCCACTAGGTCCAACCGTCCTCCCCCTGCCCCTGGGAAACCACTCGAGTTCGCTTTGTAATCTAAGCAAACCTGGGAATCCCTCAGGTAGCGGCAGTCAGTGCTGCCCTGGGGTCTCCAACGTCCCAGAGGGATGGGAACAAGGGGACTTGGAGCCCTTTGTCAGCATGGACCAGTCAAGGGTGCCTGGAGTCTCAGATGCTTATCTGTGAACTGGGCGCCTGCAGGCCTCCTTACAGCTGCCATCAGGATGGAGGAGGGGCTGGGCTTCACCCGGCAGGTGGGTTGTGGGCCAGAAGAGCAGGTGTTATCACAGGCTCACTGGTGGGGAGGGCGTTTTGTGAGCCTTGGCCCGTGTGGGAGACGTCAAAGATGAGTGGGTCCTGGCAGGACCTCACCACGTTACCACGGCGGCACCAGGTGGTCCTTCCCCAGCCGGGCTCAGACTTTGTCTCCAGGCCACGTTTCGTGTTGCTATCTATCACAAGACCTCGCGCGCACGCATCCTTCAAGGTCTGTCTCAGACAGCCTTACCAAGTCTCCCTCCTCTTTCACGTCTGTGCTGCCCACAGCCCCCTTTCCACTACAAACTTATCTCCACGCGAGCAAGGCCGCTGCGGCTGGTCCATAGGCAGGCGCCCTGCCTGACTCAAACCCCCCAAAGTTTCTGCCAGCTTGTCCATTCTGACCCACCTTGACCCTGTGGGGCAGGGTAGAACTGCTGCTCACTGTGTCCGAGGAGGTGCCTCTTTACAGGAGCAGACAGCCTCATCTCTCTGAGAGGTTGCTGGGTTCAAACTCCTGACCTTTTGGTCAGCAGCCCAATATGTTGCCCACTATACCACCAGGGCTTCCCAGGGCCTTATAGAGGCCCAGATAAACATGCCTGGCTGAATATGCATGCTTAAATCGGATTCTTGTTTTATCCCTAATGGACATTAAGCCAGAGGAAGGAGTTATTTAAGTGCGAGATGAAACAAGAAAGAAATGAGGTCAGAGGAGATGATTTCTTTCTGGGTGTGATTATCTTGTGAGGCATTGAGAATTGAGTCCATTTTATGACAATCAAAAAGGGATGCCCAGTGCCGGCATCCTATAGACTCACCGCACTTCCCACTTGGCCACCTCGCGCCCAAGAATGGTGGTTTTTGTGATCTGCTCTGTGAATCATTCATAGTCTCGCTCTCTTTTATCACAAACTACATACAGACAAAACACAGACACTTTATACTCACACACGCATATGCGTGCATGCATGTGTACACACACACACACACACACACAAACTACTCCCATCTCATGCACTATGTTCTTGATTACTGTCTTGTGGGTTCCTGAGAGGCCACGCAATGCTGTACAATCCCAGTGTCTTCCTCACTGCCCCCTCCCCCCAGCCCAGCACCACAGTGCTTTTTCCAGAGTGGGGGCCGGGGAAGAAGCTTGCAGGGGGTGGTCTACAGACACTGCCGTCAGGAGTGGTCTCGATCAAACTGGCCATGAATGTGCTCGATGACTGTGAATGACCACATTTGAATGTCCCTCCAGAAGCCCCTCTCTGCATTCGGTGTACACCAGCCCCAGTTCAACATGGGGTCACGTCATCTTGGCGTGAAAGGCAGGAGACGTAACAGTTGTGAGGGTGGCACGGGGCCGGGCAGAGTTTCATTCTATCGTACGTGGATTGCTACGAATCGGACCCCAGTTGAGAGCTCCTGACAAGAACTGTCACCCACAGCGAAACCTGAGAAAGGTGGCGTCTTATCAGGCAGACACACCTGTCAGAAAACGACGACCACAAATGTGTCCCACGAACAGAAGGTGACAGACATGTGGTCAGACTGCACCCTGGCAGAAAGAGACCCGGGACCACAATGCAGGCCCGTGGAGGCGTAGCTCACAGGCTTCAGCGTGCCAACTTTTCATATCCCATAAGCCATTCCGTTTTGAAACGGACAGTGGTGACGGGGGACAATGTGGTGGATGTAATTAGGCCACCGGAATCCGTACACCTGCCCCTCACTTCTTGGTTAGGACAACGGGAAACAATGCGATCTCTGGCTACCCTGCATGCCAAGGGCACACATGTGGCAGGACTGAGGGCGCAGATGTGAGGTGAGAGCAACGCTTGGCTGTGAGGGCGAAGGTTAGGGGCCCATTTGACTGGGCCATGACTCTCAATGACGTGGCAGTGCCTCGGGAAGGCAATCAGCAGTGGTGTGAGGAGGTAGCCACGTTTTAGGACCTGATGTGACCACCCTCCATTTCTGCATCATGCTGATTTCTGCATAATGACTTGGTCTTTGGAACCCAACCATGTTGATGAGTGAGAAGTGGTGGACTTAAAGAAACAATTTAAACAGGAGGTTTTATATACATCTCACCACAATAAACTTGTATGTATTTTTAAGGGCCTACATAACTGGTAACAGACATCCCTTCTCCGTATGTCAGCCAGCCCACATGGATGGCATTGTGCAGAATGGGGGCACGGCCCACTCACCTGGGTCACAGGCATGGCTGGTGTGAAGAACAGCGCGTTCTCTGATTGGAAGCATTTCTGTGAGTTGCAGCAGGGATGCGACATCCAGAACCACTGGCTGCCCGTGATTGGGTTGCTGGGCTGAGGCTGAGGCTGGGCCACGTGGGAGACTGCTATGACTGACTATAGCTTTGGGTGCTGCTGGGGCTGAACTGTGTCTCCCCAACACTCGCAGGATGTCCAAACCTCCAGGAACTATGAACAGGGCCTTGTTTGGAAAGACAGTCTCGGAGGAGGTTAACAGTTAGGTGAACTTGGGAGCAAACTGAAGTAGGAAGGGTTCTAATCCAATCGGAATGTTGTCGTGACAAAAGGAGGGCGCACAAGAGAGACCATGGAGGGAAGATGGGCGTGTGGCCCTGGAGTTGTGCTGCAGCTGCAAGCCAAGGACTGCCTGGGACTCTCAGAAGCCAGCAGAGCCCAGAAAGGACCTTCCTTTAGAGAAGCACATGACAATGCCCCGAATTCCAACGTCTAGCTTCCAGAACTCGGAGACAATGTATTTCTGTCATCTGAACCCCACTTTGTGGTACACTGCTAGGCAGCCCCAGGACTCTTAACACAGGTGTGGAATGAGATGCTTTGTGACCCAGAGGTACCATCTCTGAGTTGACAAACAGGTTTGGGGAGGAAGTAGTTACCCTGCAACTTGCTAAAAGCACACCAAATGAACAAAACAAAAACCGAGTTACCACTGAGCTGATTCCAACTCCTCGTGAGCCCTATGTGTCTGAGTGGGACTGCACCCCTCGGGTTTCCGGTGGCTGGGTTTGGGGACGCAGGTCACCAGATCTTTCTTCTGAGGCACCCCTGGACTTGACCCTCCAACCTCTTGGCTAACAGCTGAGTGCCTTAACCTGAGCACCGCTTGGCTACTGGGAGGGTAAGCTACCTGAGTATCACCCTCCGTTCCAGGTCTGCAGCAGGAAGCACTTTCTCCCACGCCACATACCTTAATGATGCTCTGGCAGGTGGACAGCGGCAGCCCCACCAGGCTGGTGCCGTTAATGGACATGATCTGGTCCCCGATATTCAGCTTCCCCGACTTCTCCGCGGGGCCCCCGTGCATCATGTTGGCGATGATCACGGTGGGCAGGATGGACCCCCAGCCGGACTCCACAATCACCACCCCGAGGATTTCTCCCTTCTGCTTCTCGATGAAAACCTGGGAGGGAGAAGCAGGAGGCCGAGTCGGCAGCCGGTTGGGCCAGAGGCAGGAGGCTATGCATTCTCCCCACCCCTCCACCTTTGTTTCTTGAAAGGACGGTTTCATTGACACATAACCCTTATATAGTTCAATAGTTCAATCACATCAAGAAGAGTTGTACAGTCAATGCTAAGAACATCTTCGTCTTTCTTGTGCTCACTGCTCTTAGCTCCCCATTGCCCCTCAACCTCCCCTGATATGTCCCCAAGAAGCCATCGATCCAGTTACTGTCTCTACAGAGTTACCTCTCCTGGGTTCCACAGACAGAAAAACACACCTGAGATAGTTTATTGTGCCAGCCTGGCC